CCGTAAATTTACGTTTTACCATGCAATATCACAGCACCGTCGACGTATAATATACTTATTACACACATATATACAGACAGATCCTTTCAAATATGTATATGAACTTTTTTTTTCTTTTTTTCTTCTTCTTATTTTAACATAACGCAGTCACCTTTGAAATTAGGTTCGCGTATTTTGAAACACCCTTTATATATATATATATCTTATACTCAAGTTAGCAACCGATATTTCATCCCGATAAAATGTAGGTCGCGAGCATTTCTAACTGCACGTTTATTGCACATTACGTACATTCGTCCTTGAAGATTTTACGTTTAGATTCTGTAAAGAAAAATCTTACGGGGGAGACGGCGACGGGGGAGTTAGGGGGTTAGGGGAGTTGTATGATATAAAATGCACGCCACACTGGTATCGTAATCCACTTTACTTTCGAGTATCATCCTGACAGTAATAATTTACCATACGTAGTACGTATATAACTATATTTTCGAATATATTTTATCTTAGATATAAATATGATAATAATAAAAACAACAACAACAAAATAACAACAACAACAAACGAGATAAGAGAAATGAAGATTATTTTGAGCAAACGAGTTGGTCTGCATCTGTTCACGTTCCTGTTTCTCTATTCTTGTTACATGTGCATGTATCAGTACATACATACGTACATATATATACATAATACATATATACGTACATAAATAAATTACATTTGAGAAGAGAGAGAATATATGTGTGTGTGTATGTATGTAGACGTGCGTTTGCATTACGACCACGCGATACTAGCTGGTACATACTTACACATATATATATACACGCACACACAGCCGGACACATGCACACACTTATGCACTTAGAGTAAATCCTACGTTTCCTGCATAGATCGATCAATGTGTGTGACATCTAACCTATCGTAAATTTCTTTCTCTTTCTCTCTCTCTCTCTCTCTCTCTCTCTCTTTCTTTCTTTTATGTATGTTTTATGTATTATGTGTATTTTATTTTCTCCATTTTGTTTTTATTTTATCATATATTTCGTTAGAAAATAATATTATACGATTAAAATTTGTCTTACTGTCGTAAACTGGAACGTACAACGTGAACTCAAAATTTTTTTATATTAAATTCAACGAATAAATTAATTTATTTTGAGAATCTCGATAATAATTGAATAGATAATTTTTAATGAATTTTTTTCATTCTAAAATATAATACGTTCACATTATTTTAGGAATAATTTGTATTTGTTTTTTTGATTAGAAAATTTGATCGCAAAATTGTATAATTTGTTTTACAATTAAGTAACGATCAAATGCAGTTATTTCTTATCATAATTTATTGATCTATATTTTGTCAAAACATTATTTATCAACTTCTGTTGAATGATTTTCACGTTATACGATATTAAAATTAAAGTAACGAATCATATTTCCATATTAAGCTTGTAAAATAATAGAAGAATAATAAT